CCCCAAAACCCCAAAACCCCAAAACCCCTATAAAGAGTTCAATTGTTGACAATAATAATTGAGATTTGTCACAAATGGAAAAATTAAGCGACTCTGAACTTTATGAGTTAGAGACACAAACAGAAGAGCAGTCCCCTCCATCCTTCACTCTTATGAAGAGAAAACAAAGGGTGTGTAGGAGGTATGCCAGTAAATGAATTATTGGAGGAAAGCCAGCAGATGGAAATGATGAAGCACAGGAAAAGCTTCTGTCTACTATCCTTCCAAATACAGTAAGGTTATATTCAATAATAATTGACCAAAAAGTTGTTCTAGAACAACTTGTATACCTAGTGCTTTTCCCAATTACTCCTTTCTTCTATCTCATTATTTCTCTTTACTCAAAAAGAATATTTGCTCAATTGTTACTTCAAAAAGAAAGTGCTACTTCAGCATCTGGCTGAAGTAGTTGTAACGCAACGATACATCTTTGGAACAAATTTCGTCAAAAATAGCCAGCTCCATTTCTACATCAAATACAAAATTATTATTCATTTCACAAAATTTTATCTACTCCTAAGTACCCTTTATTTTTTGCTGGGATTCTGCTCTTTTTGCCAAGCTTAATTCCGGGTGAGAATATTGCTGACTTCAGGATTACTTCAGCAAGTCTCACTTTTGCCATATGCTTGAACAAATTTCATCGCTTCATGAGTCATCCAAGCTATATCTGCTGAAAATTTAGTAAAAGCTGTAATAGAAGTACAGCTTTTAGGTGAAAATTAGGCTATTTTTTATTAAGAATTTTCGATATCTTGGTGAATTAGGAATAGGGCAGTTGAAGACTCATTTGGAAAAATTCAGGAATCAAAGATATTTTAATAATTTATAACTTTACGATATTTGTAATGAGATTTGAGGGAAAAGTAATAGAGGCGGGATTATATGATTAAGAACTTTAGGAGGTATCTATTTTTTGTGCTTGATAATTTTGATTAAAATTCTGCCTAATTGTGAATAAATATATATCCATGATTGCCATTTCAATCACCTTCAGCTTTCTAGGTGATCTGTAATTTAGAGAGATTGCCCATATTCGTTATTAATTAGATATGCGATTATTTAAATTTTCATTTCCTTGTTAAGGATGTTAATCAAAAAATTTAACACAAGTTTTACGGTGATTTTGAAATTTGTCACACAAGGTCAATTTAAAAATTTCTACTTCAGAAAAATTAACCATTCTTATAGATAGAGAAGAAGATTGATTTACCAAAGCACAAGTTGATCTCAGGATCAGCGATCTCTAGAGATGGAAGATACTACATAGTCGGAGGCAGGAACTACCTCTCTGTCTTTGACAGTATCACTGGGGAGTATCAATTGAAGAAATCATGAAAGCTCTCGAACATTGCTCATCATTTGACTTCGATTGATTACAATGATTATTCACAGAAAATACTTGTAACTACTCTGAACGAAAAAGTTCAGATCCATAATCTTGAGCTTGATGTGGAGGAAGCCTCCTATATGAAGTTGAAAGAATGCCCGGCTGGTCACTTTTTGCTTGAATATGATGACAATAGATGAGCTGTTTTTGATACAAAATTCTCTGAAAAAGATGGATCCAAATGAATAGTCTTACTCAATAATGGGTTCTCCATTTGCGATTTAGAGGAAAATAAGTACGTCATTGCTGCCTAAAGCTGACCTAATCTTGTCTGATATAGAGTTATCACAAATGTTGCTAACGGACACTGGGAAGAGGTCAACTCAGTTATGACCAAACCCTTTGGACTTTCAGAGAACACTATCGTCACTGGAGGAGATGACGCACTTGTTAATATTTATGACAAAAGAACCATCGGATCTAAAGAGGGAAACAAAGCTTGTGGAAAATTCTTCGGACATAATGCTGGAATTACCAGCGTAGATATCACAGAGAGCGGAAACTATATCGCATCAAATGGAAAAGATCAACTCATTAAATTATGGGATATCAGGAAAGCTCTGCCTCAAGACATTTACACTAAAACCAAAAGAAAATATATTGATTTTGATTATAGAAATACTAGTTTTAACAAATCTAAGAGATTTGTGCATGAGGCTGATAACTCAGTGTATACCTTTAAAGGTCATACAACTCATTACACACAGATCAGATGAAAATTCTCACCTTCTAGCTGGACAAATGAGAGATTTATCGCTTCTGGCTCCTTCTGTGGATGTACAATTATCTATGATACATACACTGGAGAGAAGTTAGGAGCGCTAGCTCCTGCGTCCAAATCTATTGCCAAGATTCCCACTTGGCATCCACTAGAAAGGAAATTAATGTCTACTTCTGAGAATAAGTTCTTTATCTATGAACATGATCCAGAGAAGACAACTCTGAAGAGTTGAGTAGGAAAGGTAGATCTGCACTCAAAGATCCAGAGGAAATTCAAAAAGTTACAAAAAGAAGAAGTCAAACATCACACGGTTGATTCTTGTAAAAACTAAGTTTTTGTTAAAAATTTATAATTTATTTTGAGAATTTTGGTGGAAAATAGAGATTAAGAGGTAGAAGAAATAGAGATTTAGGAAAACGAAGGTTTAGAGGTTAGATAGAGTGATTTGGAGTAAGAATTTGGTAAAAGAAATGAATTTTAGACTTAAAGTGGGTGTCAAATTAGTGGATAAGGAAAAGTAAATGAAAAATTACAGAAATTCTATTGAAGGCCAAAGTGTTTGAACTTGAAGATCTAGATACTCTTAAATAAGAAGATATTCCAAGAAAATTGCTCTGCTTTTCTTTACTTATAGTTTAACTCCGAATTTTTTAGACTTAATTAGCTTACTCTTTGTTTCAATTCATTTTTAACAACTGGGGTTTTGGGGTTTTGGGGTTTTGGGGTTTTGGGG